ACCGGATGATCTGCCAAGGTCCCTTCCAGCTTTACAATCTATGCTCCAGCTTTCTCACATCCCCTGTAGTGAAATAATTTATCAAGTGTATTTTAAAGTTTAATGAACTCATTTAACTTTTTTGTTTCTGTGACTGTTCCATAGAATACACTAAAGCCTCTTGAAACAAACAGCAGTGGTGTGTCTCACTGTTAGCAAGGGTACAGGCATTTGCTGTATATGTTCATTGTTTTATCAAAACACATATTCTATATTTATCTCTGGTGCATTTCTCTCATTAAATAAAAACATCGGGACCTGAAAATATCGAATAAGTTGGTTTTCTTTTTATGCGGACATGTTCGTTAACAAAGGCTTGTTTTTCAATTGTTACACCCCCTACCCTGAACACTTTCATGCAAACTAATTTTCCTTTTAAATAGATTAGGTACTGTACCTGGCTTTCATGCAAGTGATGGTGCCAAAAACTAAGCACACTTTGCTTAAAGACTAATTTATTTGGAACCTGGACATTTAAATTCTACACAGAGAACTGAACCAGCATTAAAAAAAAAAAATCACAGTTAGCAATTATTTCCCACAAAAATAACTGCAAACAATTTAAAAAGTTTTTTCCCACCCAAGACAGCTTGTAAACTGAACTGAGCTCAGGTAGCCCTGCTCTACTCAGGCAGACCATTTGATATCAACAAGGTCTGTCTGAAAAGCAAAAATTCCATTTCACGACAAATACTAAAGCTCTCAAATTTTATTTTATTCTTATGGGGAAGGAAATGGAGCTGTTAGATTTTTTTTCTGAAAATAGTAGCAATTCTATCACACAGGTACAAGCCATGTATGACTCAGAGCAGAGAAAGAAACTGGGCTTTTCACAGCAACAACTAATTTTCTAATCACTGTACTACTTAGACAGTGGTTCACATTCTCTCTTTTCCTTGATGTCATCCTAAACCTAAAAAAAAAAAAATCTTTCTGGCAAATATTGCAGTGAAACCAATACCTTAAAAAAAAAAAAAAAACCAACCAGTTGCAAGTAATCAATATTTTCCAACAAAAATGTTTAGTCAAAAAATTCCCAACCAGCACAAGCATCATGTGTAAATGCAGCTACTCCATGCTGTAAATTAAGTTTCAAATTTCATGTCATTTTCTATGGACTTTTTCCAAGAAAGCTTTAGTCATCACATTTATTAACACAGTTTTGAACATGATAAATAACACTGGACACTTATTAGCAATTAGAAAACTTTTAAGAGGTCACTTGGAAAACACAACATTTGAGAATATTAACATGAGCAAGGCAACCCAAAATGGCTTCATTAGTATATATATATATATATATACACACACAGATATTCAAAAACACTTGAATACTTTGTCATATCCATGTGTATATGCTCCATGGTTTATCTTAAATATTGTGAAAATATAACTTTGTAATAATCCCATATCAAAAGGGCTCAGTACTTGCACAGATGCTCTTTAACATCTTCATTAATGATCTGGAGTCGGAAGTCAGATGCAAACTGGCAAAGCTCACAGATTACACCAAATTATGAGGGAGGGCAGTCAGACTGCAGGACAGGCTGGGGTACAGGCCGACTTAGACACGCTCTTAAGGTGGGCTGACCAAAACTAGATGGCCTTCAATGTTGAGAAGTGTAAGGTGTTCCATCTTGGTAGGAAGAACCCTCAACACACTTACAAGTTTAGCAGTGCTACACTTGCTATCACCACGACCGAAAGAGACTTGAGGATCCTGATTAACCACAAGATGAATAGGAGTCACCAATGCGATGCTGTGGTTGGCAAAGCGAACCAAATTCTGGTGTGCATGTACCAATGCATCTCAAGCAAAACCAGGGACGTCATCCTCCCGCTTTACTCAGCCTTGGTGAGGCCACGGCTGGAGGACTGCATCCAGTTTTAGGCCCCCACTTCAGAATGGATGTGGAAAAGCTTGAGAGAGTCCAGAGGAGAGCCATTCATATGATCCCATGCCTGGAGGCCAGGCCATACAAGTAGAGGCTGAGGGATTTAGGACTCTTCAGTTTGGAAAAAAGAATGCTCAGGGGTGACTTGGTGGCAGCCTACAATTACATAAGAGGGGTACATCAGGACCTGGGGGAACAGCTGTTCACCAGAGCTCCCCAAGGGATAACAAGGTCTAACAGCCACAAACTCCAGGAAGGCTGATTTAAACTAGACATAAGGAAAAAGTTCTTTACAGTGCGTGTGTCGAGGGTCTGGAACAGACACCGCCCAGAGGTGGTGGAAGCACATATTCTAGACTCTTTCAAAAAATGTCTGGATATTTTTCTTGCTGGGATCACTTTATCCCAGCTGACTTCCTACCTATGGCGGGGGGGAGGGGCAGGGGCTGGACTCGATGATCTCATGAGGTCCCTTCCAGCCCTTAATGTCTATGAAATCTATTACATCTATGAAAATGACCTAGCTTCAAATGAAGTCCATTCTCTAGTTGTAGTTTTTCACTAATTCTAATGTGGTAAAGAAGAGCCTACAATGAGTTGTGTTGACAAGGATAGAGAGAAGTTGCTAGCAGTGTGCCCCAGGAATCAGTCTTGTGAACAGTCTTAATAAATATTTTCATTAAGGACCTGAGCATAACAAGTAAGAATATGCCAATGAAAGTCAGTGATGACTGACAGTTGAGAAGTATCATTAAAATAGAGGAGTATCAAAATATTTTACAGTAATAATTGGATGACACTGAGGACTAGAGTAATGGAAATGGGATGAAGTTTAATTGTACAAAGTCATGCACTGAAAAATTAAAACCAAGAAATCTACTATTAGCTGGAACTCAGTGGTTGGAAATGATAGTGAGAAGAAGGTCTCGGTACACTAGTCAATCACAGGATGACTATGATGCACCACCAAATAATGCAGCCATAAAAAGGCAATTGTTTCTCTGGAAAGTATATAAGGTGAGATTTTCCCAGTAGAAACAGACAATATTAGCACCTTTCTAAAAGCCACTGTTAAGACCTCTTCTAGAATCCTTTGTACAATCTGACTACCTTTGTTAAAAAAAAAAGATGTAAGCAGGCTGAAATGTGCAGAAAAGGTCTACTAAATTTGTGAGAAGGGATGAAGGGTTTGTCTGCACTACCTCAGTGCTTTAGGCAGGACTGCCATCAGAAAGCACATTCTGCCCACTTGCTTTTGCTCGGTAGGTGCCTAATCCTTGAAATGAGACAATAGATCCACTTCAGAACCTACCTGAGCACCACTTTCAGATGCTGTCTCAGGCATTCATCCTGTTTCATACTCAGGGCCACTTTAAGCCTATCTTATTTCTAGGATTTGGAAGGCAGGGAATGGGACAGCAAGTTGGGCATGCTTCTCAGCAATGACACAGAGAGACTGTATAGAGTTTGGCTTGTTTTGGCTTGCTGCCTAGCAAGACAAAGAAGAATTGATTGCATCAGGTAAGTACCAGGGAGGGAGAAGCTGAATGGTAATGTTGGCACAAGCACATATGGGTATAAACAAGTCATGAATAAATGTATACTGAAAACTTGAAAAAGATATCTGTCCATCAGAGGACTGAGCTTCAGGAATAAGTAATGAGAGCAAAATACCTAGGATAGTGTTTTGTGAGTTTATGACTTCGTTTAAAGATATGGTTGCCTGGGATAGCAAAGTCTTGACCTGCTTTCTGAGTTGGTACATTCCAGTCTTATATCTTATTTTCCCATGTATCTGAGAATTAACTGACTCTTAAAACAAGGTACAATTTTAACTGAAAAAAGCCAGTAGGGAAAGTGGTTCTTCATACAAAGACTGGATTGAAAATGTTTTCAAAGGGTTACACACAATTGTTTGACTGTATCTACCTAATGGTGGCTCATAAATGAAACACACTAAAAAGGGCTTTTAGTGATAACATCCCTTAATTGCAGAGTTGTTAGGATTTCAACTGTGACTATCAAGACTCCTGTCCAAATCAATTTAAGTTATCAAGTTCTCCCCTTCTTTCATTTTCTTCTTTATGAAAAGTGGTTTACTTTCAAGAACAAAAGAAACATTTAAAGAAAAAAATGCTTTCTCTTTTCTTTCTGCAAGACTTTCAGTCTTCATGCAAATTTTCAGACAAGCTGATACATTTAAGTAAAAACAAAGATTTTATTATGGGGAAGGTCATATTCAGATCTAAAGTTGAAGGAAAAATTGCAATTGTTGAAGTTACTTCCAGCGATTCTCACCACTTTAAACAGTACTTCAAATAACCTGTAATATACTGTAACTCAAAACCATTTTAGCTTAGAAATAATAAAAATACCAGACGTTCCTTCAGTCTGTAGTAAATGGAGGAAACATCAACCTTCAGAGTGCAACATAGTTTTTACTGTTTAATGTCTAAATGTCTTTTTATTATCTACAAAATTTGAAATGTTATTGTCACATTGAAAGATTGTATTTCACAGGACTGGATGAAACAATAACTGTTTTTTAACCTAGAGGGAACAATCCTATTGTGGAAAGTATGATATAAGAAAAACTTTGGCTAAACAAACTGATTGGAGTAATTTAAAATATGAAAAAATATAGCTAGAAATAGACCTGCATACTTCCCCCACCTTCTCCCAAAGTTTGGCTTCTCTAGATAAGCAATGTAAGTAAGTGGTATTACCAGGTGATAAGTAACATATAACTGTTGCAGTTTAAAAATGTAGTGTACAGAAGACCTTTAACATGCTAAACTGCTTTAGGAAAAATCTAAGTCTCCTCCCCCCTGCCACTTTCAGGCACAAAGAAGTTTATGAAAGGTATTGATATCGTTAGAGATGGGTAATATAGCCTTCTAAATGAAGTGCCTTAAAAGAGAAGTGCTCTTTAGAAGACAGTATTGTATGTACTATAGGAACTCACCGTTCAAAAATAGAATTCAATATTATCATTTTCCTCACTCTCGTAGAATGTCGAATGTAGTAGTAATTTGTTATTTATCAATTGGAAATAGATTTACATACCATTTGATGTATTTGTGGCATCTTTAACTTCTCTTGCACATCTAAAGGTTTCTGTGATATCACCCCTCTCCAGTCTTGGCACATTTTGCCTGGTAGAAAGATCAGAAAAGTTTAGAAGAGCATGTTATTTTAGTACTGTTCACCAAATTGAGTATGCCAAATTCAGAATAGCTTTCTCTAGTACAGAAGACCTGCCCATAATCTGCTTAATTCACAATCCTATCTCCAGCAGTACCAGATGTTCCAGAGAAAGGTGTAAGAGTACCACAGTAAGCAGGTGTTCCCTAAGCAGGTCTCTTCTTGATGTTAAGTAACTACAGAGCACTTAAGTCCCAAAGCACAAGACTTAATATTTTTTTTTATAATTCTTTGTTGTAGTAAACTATGACATCTCTAGCCATTTTTGCTCTCTATGGAACTATCCAAACCTTTTTCTGAAGCTTGTTAATTTCTTGGCCTGAATGATTTCAGGCAGTAATGAACTTCACAGTTTTAATTACTAGTTGTGTTAAAAGCATTTCCTTTTAATAATTTTCAATTTCTCACGCTTAAATTTCATGATGATATGGGATAGGTAGCACAGGAATTCCCATTCTACCTTCCTCTATAACATTCCATTATTTAATAAATGTGTGTCCCTTCTTATTTGTCTCCTAGCTAAGGTAAAGAAACCTGGTCTTTCCCAGTTCCAACACCCTGGGTCATTCTCATCACCCTCTTCTTTAAATCACTTACAATATGTCTGTACTGCCCCCTGCCTTGCCCAGGACCAACTCCAAGGAAGTAAGCCCTGCCCCTTGCTCCTACTCAGAAAATTAGGTCGTATCTATACAAGCTTTCCTGCCAAGTCTGGGACTGCTGCCGAGAAACAAAGCACAAACTGCTCACACTACTTACTAAAGCATGCAACCAAGCCTGCAAATTAGGCAGCACAGATGGCTTAGAAGAGCCTTGAACACATACCCCAGCACCACGCTCATGCTTTCCTAAGACAGGCTATTCTGAGACACAACACTGTACCCATAATGTGGAAGACGTGGGTTCCATTCCCTCTGCCTAGGGAGAGTCATACCCGCATCTTCCACCTTCTGGGAGACCACCCCACCCACCAGGCTATCAGCTATTCGGGGGGGGAGCACTCTCTACCTCTCTTTTTGAAATGGTTTTACTTAGGAGACGAATATTCAAGAGTCAGATCTCCAGAGAGAGATCACACAAAAGTCAGCTTGACTCTGTGGCCTACTGTTCAGCACACTTACTGGGAAGGGTCTCCAGTAACCACTCTAAAGACTGTGTATTTTGCCCAAAGAGTGTTTAATGTAGTACAGCAGCAGCCCTTGTGGAAAGAGACTCACCCATGCCCATTCAAGTGTCCATTAGATCAGAAGTAGGCAACATTTTCCAGCTCCAGGTAGGAATGAACCACATGGGTTAGAGATGGGTGGGTGCTGTGACCCAGTCACTGCCACTACTTGTCTCTGTGGTGGCATAATGAGAGCACTGGCAGCTGAAGCCCCCTCCACTGATTGCCAATGAAGCCCCATGTCTTGCAGGCCAGATCCAATGGTTCTACAGACCTATAGGCCATAGGTTGCCAATCTCTATATTAGGTTATAGAGTTATCTATGCCCACTAGGCTATAGGTTATATTAGTGGAGAGGGAGATGCCTTCTCTACTCCTCCTCCCGACCCCTGCCCCCCAGTGTAACTGCTCCACTTTGAGTGAGTAGATTCAGGATTTACTGAATGGAAGCAGAAGGATGAGAATAACTCTCTATCCCAGTATTCAGGGCATCCTTTGATGAGATGCAAGTTTGAAATCCCTCAAGGAAAGAAGGAACTTGAGTGTGCATCTCCCACATCCTGTTGAGTGCTAAACTACTGGGTAAGAGAGGGACAACTTTTTAGACCACATTTGAGAACAGTGACTTCTGCTCTGTTTTTGACAAACTGGTCTGAAGTATATAGCTTCAGGAGAAGGTTCCATGAGGTGAACACAGAGTGGAGTGGCACCACTTGGTGTACCACTAAGTAAAGAACTGAACCCCTATGGCATTTGTAGATGACAATTTAAAGCAGGTTAAATGCCTTTTGCACCGCTTTAATGGCATTGCTGTTTGCACATTCGGTGGCATATTGTGCATTTTAGTTTCCTACCCTACAACCATGAAGGGAAGCACCAGGCTCCATGAGGCTCAGGGGCTGTGCAGGCAGACCGTGCAGGCAGCCCAGCAGCAGCCTGGAAAAGCAGGCTCCACAGAAGGGAAAAAAAACCAAAAACAATGATCTTGATCTTTCTCCCCCATTTATCCCCCCACCCCGGAGCCTACCTGCCTGCCTGAGTTACACGGGGGCCCGGTGCTTGCCTCCATGGCTGTGGTGCTCCCTGGGACTGCCCAAACCAGGTGCCTGTGGGAAGGAGGCTGCCACTGCCAGGGGGGGAAGCACCATTTCCCTCCCCTTCCCCCACCCCAGCAGCTCTCTTTTCCCTTCCCGCCACTGGAGAGGCAGGGAAGGATTGGGTTCCAACTCAAGTGTACATGACACAGGGGTTTACTTAGCCCTAAATTGAAGTGTTTAAAAAAAAAACAAAACAAAAAAAATACTACTTCATTTCAGGGAGAATTAAACCCCCTTGTCATGTACAAATGCCCCTAGAGAGGCATAGGATTTAAGATACAGCACTGACAGCCATGTTTCCTATTGGCTAGTGTAAGCACATAACTGCTCTGTATGCTGCATTTTGTGGATCCCATTCTGACGCCTTACTTAACTAAGGCTGCATTTCACTATGGTGTGTCAGGGTGGATCCTAGGAAGGTCAAAACTGGCTAGCCCAGCTGAGCTGAGCAAGCTCCTGAGCTGAAAGTTCATCCCCAGCAGCCACTCTCAGGCCTGATGGTAACCAGGTAGGAGCTACTCCTGGCTCATCCTCAAACTCTACTCTCAAGCCCTTGGTCTCTGTCAGGCAGAGAGCAACCACTGGGGATGAGACCAGAGCAACTCCATTAGCAAACTTCTGGCTCAGGCCTATTCCATCCCTCCAAGGTCTGCCTCTCATGGTATAGACCATCATGAAACAGATCTAAAAAATAGGGATTTAAGACTCTAAATCAATTAGGTACTTCAGATAATTTTACTCTCAGTTTCTCTTTGCATTAGTTTCTTATGTATAAAATGAGAAAACATATGAAAAAGATTGTAAGTTACTCAGTCACTAGAGCAACTGGAAACATGTACATTTGTTCTTGATAGTCACAGAAGTCAAGGTGCTTTGCAAGATTCTGTTTAGGTTGCATACTCGTACAGCCAGGACCCACATTTTTTCTATTACGCAGAAACTATACTGCTGTCTGATGACATAATAAATATTGGTAATAACATAAGGAGATCAGTGGGGAGAAGAAAAAAGAAAATGCCCCAAGTGGTGGAGTGCTGGAGCCAGTGCATTACATCTCAGCATAACAAAAATAGAAGAAATTGTCCTTACCCATTATTCTTATGCCAACCACTATGCCGCTTGCTTTGGAGTATAATTTTGCTTTTCCCTATCCACATTCTGTGCCACCTGTTGAGAAGGATTAGGCCCAAAACAAAAACTTCTCCTCCCAGTTCCCATTGATCTTTTAATTTTGGTGTGCTGATCTCTTCATTGTAGGAGATCGCTTCATTGATCTGAGCTGTTTCATTTCCTTCCTTGTTCTAACGCAAAATTGAAGGTTGATGCAAAATCCTGAGGAACCTACTTTTGTACAATGCAATAAAAAGGTGGGAAAAGTCATTTTAAAACCACAGTTCCTAGCAGTATTCTCCTCCCCAATGACCATTTAATTCAAAACTTGTGTTATCTTTTTATAAACTCTTACAACAGTTTAATGTCTTTTTTAATTGGACATTCAGTTTTAATCTTTGAGTACTTACAAACAATTAAGAGCCAGAAGATAGAATTAGCAGTTCATAGTTTGATTATCTGTATAATTAAAAGGGGGGAGGATCCTATTTGTCAATTTAAATCCTAATTGTTTGAATAATTAAGTGTTGGGGGGTTCATATGAACTGTTTAAATTTCATTTAAAATTGTATACTTTAACTGAACAGGAAAAATGTTGGTTCAGATTCATATTCATACTCAGTTCTCTATAAGCCTCTCTGGCAGTATAAAAGGTCCTTAGAGTAAATGTGATGGTAATATGCAACTCCTTTAAGGTCTATTGCAACTGTAGAATATGGTAAATAAGAATCAAGTTCATCGGAGAAGCTGCAGGTTGCACTTCTGGTTTAGTTAACTGTCCATATTATTCTTTCTATAAAATTTCCTCTTTTTTAATAAAACTGCACAACTCTAACAGTTTTATATAGGGATTCCAATCTTTTGCATGTGACTGAGGTATTTAGTAGGGCTCTTTATATATATTTTATAAGCATTGCCAAACAAGTGTAGTAAAGAATACATAATAAGTAATCGTAATTTATAAATCTATGATGTCCTTGAGGTTTCTTTGTTAATTTGAGTTGCAAGCATATTTAGGATCTCATCTGAAATCCATTATATGCATCTTTGAAAAAGGTATGTTAACATTATATACAATGATATTCATTTCATTTTTTTCAGTTATTTTATTTGAAAAAGATACTGTAGCCATCTGGCTAAGCCAATGGCCCCTGTTTGAGGTTATCCAAGTTCCATAATTAATTTTCATTGAGCAAACCAAAGAATTGAATAAAAATAATCTCAAGTGGTTTTCAGGTTTTGGGGTTTTTTTTCACTTTTCCTTCTTTATTATAATTAAATTTGGGCAAACTTCTGAATGAAGTATCATTTTTAATGACAAAACATTCCATTTTAAAAATGCCAAAACAAGATAATTCTCACGATTTCAGAAGAAAAAAAAATAAAACTATTTGCAGATTTCAGCAATGCACTGAAAAAAAAAAAACTTTTTCACTGAATGAGCTATTTATCCAAAAACTATTTTGCCCAGCTGTATTCCTGTGTGACACTGAGCGAGTCATTCATTCACTTTCCTAGGATCAGATTTTTAATATGGCATGGTGACTACTTAGAGTTGCAAAAGCTTAGATTCTGAAAT